ACGAGGAGTCGGAGCCCCGTACGGCGAGATGCAGCACATAGGCCAGCGCGCGGAATCGAGGTCAATGGACGGGTGACTCGCTGTAGTGAGTGCGCGGCGGCGTATCACCCGCAGAGACAGCCGCGACCAGCAACTTTCAGAAGTTGACATTAAAGAACGTGAGTGAGTCTGCTATAGGTCCATGTACCCTGTCCTGATGTCTGCCTATGCTGCAGCACGAACATTGTCACGGTCATGTTTACTTGGTCTGAAGCCTATTGAGATCAATCCAGCATCGCTGCCTTGCGGATCCCCAAGGACCGTCTGTTGTGCTGACAGTTTCGGCCTCGGCTGGCCTGTCTCCGGTGGCGATGCGAGGGTTTGTGGAGTTGTATGTGTGTCTTTCTGGTGCTGACTCGTAAGGATATGGCCTGCATCGAAGCCGCGGGAGCCTCAACGAGCCCGTGGTTGCATTTGGCTGGCTTGCTCTTTTTTGTTGACGTGCGTGACATCGGCGTCGCTCGGGTTCGTTTTTGATTGCGGGCCTGCAGTTGTTGCTCTCGTGCTGGACAGGCGTTGGCGGGCAGTCTGGACGGTGGTGGTCGGGGCGGTGTTTCACAACCTGCAGCAATGGCGGTGGTTTTCTTGCTGGGAGCGTCTACTTTCGCGTTTTCGTCACTGCTTTGCTGTGTTTTTGTTGTTTCGTTTTGTGCACAGCTGTGGGATCGGGTTCTGTTCGGTTTGGGCCTGTCTCTGCTTTCTCCCGTCGTGTCTTGTCTTCCTGATTTTCCGGACTCGGGATTGCATGGCTCGAGTGTCACTTGGGGTGTTGGCTCTGCTGCTCTGCTGCAGTGTCGCTTCTCGCGTCAACCGAAATTTTTGCACAGCTTGGCAATGTCGCCGTCGTCTCCGCAAGATCCCTCGAGGGGGTGTTGCTGACTCGACGTGCGCGTGTTATGACAGTCCTCGTTGTGTGGGTTGGCGTTCGTGCCGGTCGGGCCTCTGACTTCTTTTTTTGCATGGCAATGAAGCGACATCGATCTGCATGGTTGATTTGCTATTGCTCTTCCAGTGCTTTACCCGGAAGTAGGAATGGAGTGCATGGAAGTCGTGGACGTAGCTCGAGCCCATGTACAACCAAGAGGAAGGTTGGCATGCTTGGGCTCGTGCACTTGTTTCTCCCGCAGATTTGTTTGTGTTTTCTTTTTGATGCTTTAGGTGCTGCGACGGGATCGTTAGGCTCCGGATTCGGGCTTGGAGAGGCTAGAAAGAGAGACCGGCCTATGCTTCCTGTTCCTGGCCTGAGAGATTTCTTCTTGCAGTTGCAGCCTGCGCTTGTGTTTGGCGTTCTTGCAGATACTGGTAAAGACGGAGTCTGTCCAGGGTGGGTGTCCGCACCTCTACAGTTGACTGGTATAGCTGTAGCTGTAGCTGGTGCATTCTACCGACGGATGTGTTGTTCTTCACGCCACTCGCGTTCGCCTTCGCATCGAGCAAGAGTTTGACGGTGTCGGGGTTGTCGCTCCACATCGCAAGTTGTAGCGGTTCTTGAAGGAGTCGCACAGCTGCTTCTGATTCCACGTCGCAGAGGTTCGCAATGAGCTTGTGGAGGATCGAGTCGTGACCCTGGAAAGCTGCTGCACAAAGAGGCGTTCCCCCGTGCAAGGCATGCTTCTCGGTGTCAGCTCTCTGTTCGAGCAGGAACTCCACGGCTTCGGTTCTCCCGTGCCAAGCTGCGTACCAGAGCGCCGTGGCATTCAACTGGCCGTCAACGTGGACCGATGAGCCGAGCAGGAGTTTAATGCCGGAAATGCAGTTGGTGCTGGCGCATGCGCAGAGAGCGGTTGTCTCGTAGTCGTACTCGTTGCGGGGCTCGTGTCGGGTGTGCACATCCGAGCGCGCCATCAGCAGGGTGGTTGCCATTTTTTCGTCGTTATTGTGGCAAGCGACGTTGAAGGGCGTCCGGCCTTGGTCGTTGCGTTGATTCGGGTCGGCTCTTGCCTCTAGCACCAATTGTGTGAGGCTGTGGAAGCCACCAGCGACGGCTTCGAGTAAGGCGCTGCGTCCGTGCTGGTCTGTTGCGTCCGGGTCTGCTCGGTGTTGCAGCAACATGCGCGTGGCTTCCTTTGCGTTTTGGGCTGCTGCGTGCCAGAGTGCCCGATCGTTGCCGTTGCGGTTCACGTCCGCATGGGCTTGGAAGAGGAGTTTCAGGATGTCCGTGTTGTTTGCACTCGCGGCTGCTTGGAGAGCGGTGGTTGCGCCGTTTGCGGTGTTGACTTTGGCCCCTCCGGGCATGGACGCGTTGACGTCCTGTGGTTTGCACAGGAGTTCTTCCACTTCGGATTCGGAGTCTTCGAAGCTGGCATCAATGAGCTGGCGGATGTTTTTCGCGGAGGTGGGGATGTAGTTCAATAGCACGACCTGCAGGTGGGTGGATTTTCGGATCGCGTCGTCGTCGTCGAGGAGGCGCGTGTTTCGGAGGATCTTCTGTCGGAATCGGGAGACTCCCAGGTCCGGAGCTAGTCTGGCTTTGAGCTTTCGTATGGTGGTGGCTTCGTGCAGGTGAAGGTCCGCTACGAGGTTTCCTGCGCCGGTGTAGACTTGTACCCGGATCTTTCCGTTCTTGTGGGTGCTTGGTCGTTTCATGATGGCTTTGAGGTGGCGAGCAACAGTACCGGTCGAATTGACGGGGTTCGGGCCCTGCACACTGTCGCGATTGGTCTGATGTTTTGATATTCACGGCATGGGGTTTTGGCTGTACTTGGTGCCGTGTCTGTTTACTGACTGATTGCACTGGGACAGCACTTTTTTTTCTGGATGCACGTGACATCTGCGTTGTGTCGGGCTGGGTCCTTTTGAGATCTTGTTGGTGGTCTAACATGCTAGTAGTTGCTGCTAACATGCCTTGGTGGGCAGACTGAACGGTCGTAGTCGGGCGGTGTGTCTCAGCATGTAGTAGTATTGGCGGTGGCGATCTGGCTGGGAGCGGCTGCTTTGGTGTTCGGAACACTTTGGTGCTGCGAGTTTTCTGGCAATGGCATGCAGCTGTCAAGATCGGGTTCCTGATCGGTTTTGTCCCGTCTCTTTCTCTTTTCGTGTCTTTTCGGCGGTGGGTCCCGGGAACGGGTGGCACGAGTGTCAGTTCGGGGCGATGGCTCTGCTGCTGCGCTGTGGGGTCTCTTTTCGTGCCACCCTAAGTCTTTGCAGAGCTTGGCAATGGTGCCGTCGTCTCCGCGAAAGATCCTTCGAGGGAGTGGTCCCTTGTCACTTAGGTCCAGCTCTTTGCGGACTTGTCTTACGAGTTGTCGGCGCGGTTCGATCCGAGTTTCCTGCTCGAGCCTTTTCACGAGTTCCTGGAGTTTCGTTTTGTTGTACACGATGTTGCTGCTTGGTTGTGCTTCCTCGTTCGGGGTGTTGATCTTGTGCGGGGCAATGTCGTCCGCTTTGTCGTTGGAACTGGCTGTGGTGTCTGTGCTCTTGGGGCTCCGTTCTGCGTGTTCTGGTTGTGCTTCCGCCTGCGCGCTGTGGGTGCAATTTCGGGGGTGCTCTAGAGTCGCGGAGTGTGTGTCGTTATATAGACACGTCGAGCATCTTGCTGTGGGAAGTGGTTTGCTGCTTGTTTTTCTCACTGCCTGGGTCGCCGCGCTTGTCAGGCAGGGTTCTGTTTCGGCGTCTGGCGTCATGTCGGAGAAGCTTTGTGAGGGTTGGGAGTCCCTGTGAGCCGGGAATGGCTGCCAAGAGTCTGTTAGTTGGGTTCCTCTGGCAAGGGCGGTCTAAGTGGTTGCGATTCGGTTCTGTGCGGACTGGTTTTAGCTGCTTTCTGACGATTGAATCGTGTGTGCCGAGACTCTGCGAGGCGTTTTCCCTGTTTTGTTGGATGGATTCGTTTTGAATCGGGCGTCGTGTGCCTTGAGTTACTGCGTCGTTGCCTCGGCGTTTCCTCGGATCTGTTGTTTGCGGTCATTGGCGAGCGTGCCTGCCCAGATGATTCCTTCGTAGCCGCGGTAGTCGAACGTGATGACCAGGCCGGCGCCGTTGTGCGGGTAGTTGCGTGTGGGTGGTTGGGGAATGTAGAAGTAGCGAGTGAAAGCTTCTCGCAAGAAGTCGCTGAGCTGGATGCCTTCTTCCCGCACTGTCCAAGCGTTTAAGATGAGGATCGATTCTGAGGGTGAGAAACCGCCTATGCCGATCTCCTCGAGCCACTCGTGAAGGTCTTCCTGGTTGCCCGCGTGCCAGGGTTCGGTATCGCAGCCACCACAGGTGGAGTAGTACTTCTTCTTGCTTTCGACTAACACGGTCGTTGGCGTTAGAAAACCAGGTAGCCTGAGTGGAAGGGGCGTATGCAGCGGGGCGAGTGATGCCCGTACATGGCCTGCCAGTGTGCGGATCTTGTCACAGCGGTGCTGGAACTCGTTCTGGAAGCTGTTGCAGGATGACAAGGTTGGGACTTGTTCGGGGAATGCGAGATAGTTGAGGATCTTGCTTGCACACTGCAGAGGGAGGTTCTGCAGGTGCATGTAGCGCTGGGGCATGGCCGGTTGTTTCGTGGCGTGTTTTGTTCGCTGGATCCTCTAGTACTCTTGGTTTCATCGAGGAAACAGCGACAGGTCCATTGTGGTGTGTTTTATATGCGCCCGGTTGTCAGGTTTGTTTGCACATATTTCGCGTGGATGTGTGGAAGTGCTGGTATAACCATGCATATTGGTGTGTGTGTGTGTGTGTGTGCGTTGATGTGTCAATGTGTGCATGTGTGTGTGTGTGTGTGGTCGCGGTGAGTGCTATTGTTTTTTTTGCGGTCAGGTTTGTTTCTGATCCGAGTGCAGCACGTTCGTGGTTGGAGCTCGGCAGGGAGTTGTTGTTGCGCGCGTGGTTGAAGTTAGCGACAGATCGCGGTTGCTGCTGCTTCCGTTTGTTTTCTGGCTCGCTTGATTACTGTGCGGTCGGGGGTTTGTTTTACTCGAGCCGTCTTGGCTGGAACGTGCATGTTGCGAAGTTGCATGTGCACGTCCTTGCGTGAGGGGCTAGTGCTGCTTTTGCCGGTATGTGAAGCCCACAGAGTTGGCGAGATCGTCGAACTCAACGTCGTAAATCAGTTGTTGCCAAGTGGAAAATGCAAAGGGCTGGATCTTGCATCGGAAACGCAGGTTGCGCTGCCATGCGATTAGCTTGGTATTGGGTTGTTGCTCCTGGTCTTCCTGGATGTGATGGATGGAGAGCTCGATGAAGGATTTCACTTCTCGGTGCAGGGCTACGTCAAAGTGGAAGATGCAGTTGTGGATGAAGTGGTTGGGGAAGGTGTAGTAGGGGTCGGCATAGGTCTTGTTTTGTAGGTAGAGCTGCCAGTGTCGAACTTGCTCGTCGGCTATGATGCTGTGGGCAGTTGGATCGAACATGATCTTGACAAGGCTTTCTACTTGCGTTTGCAAGGAGTCGGGTGTCTGTATGTGAAATTGCGGAGCTGGTGGAGTGGGAATTCTGACGTCGTGGAACTGGGTCAGTCCTGAACTTTGCTGGCTTTTGTGCTTTTCGGCGGCGTGCCGTCGGGCGCTTGCTTCTCGTGTCATCGTGGAAGCCGTGAGGATGCTGAGTGGAGAGCTGCTCCCTTCCGCTCTGTCCTGGCACGACGGAGGCGTTGGTTGGGTGTCGAGTGTTTGTAGAGCTTGGTGTGTGTGTGTGTGCTTTCGTCGGAGCCTTGGGTGTTTGCTCTTCTTGTTGCTTCCTGGTTGTCTTCCGGTCGCTGTCTTCGGCGTCGCGCGTGGTGGGCGCGGTGTTCATGTGCATCTAGGTTTGTTTCTGGAACGGTCCGTTACTACGGGATTTTGTGGTGTAGCTTGGGGTATTTGATCTGGTACGACAGTGTTGTGGCGCGTTTCGGTGCTCTAGTTGGTTTGTGCGTTTCAACGCTGTCGTCTGCTTGGGTTGCTGTTCGATCTGGCTGTGCTTTTTGCGGGAGCCCTTGTTCTCTTACTGTTCCTCTCGTGTCTTTTCATGTTTTTCGGCTGTGCGACGGGTCTGGTTGCGGCGTCTTGCGTTTTGCGAGGGTGCATCACTCCTTTCACTCTGCGTGGATGAGGCCCGCGTGGTTCTGGTATCGGAAGCTCAGCTGTAAGCGGGCCGGGCTGATGATGTCGCGGAAATGGTATTCGCTCTTGCTGAACTGCGGCATGTAGGAGATGGTGGTGTGGGCGTCGTCGAGGAAATATAGGAATGCTTGGAATTGAGCATCGTGTCGCCAGGATGGGTTTGTTTTCCTGACGAGCTCCGCGAATGTACTGGCTCGACCCTGCCGCAGGAGTTCCTGCATGTGTCGGCTGCTGTGACCGGTCGGGTTTGCGGCTGTGCTATTCGTGAGCGTTTTGACGGAGGTGCCGCAGGAATGGTGCAGCAATTTTCGGTCTAACAGGTGCTGTGGAATGAGTTTGATGCTGTAGACGCTTGGCAGACCGGGAAGGTGGATGTCGAACGTTAAAGTCTCTAAGGTCCATCTAAGCGCTTGAGCGCTTTTCCGAAGGCTTTGGTGCTGCATTGCGTCGTGCGTGCTTTTGCTTGCCTGTAGGAAGTCTTGCAGAGCCCACGCGTCTAGGTGTTCCAGCAGTGACGTGATGACGATTGGTAGGACGATTGCAACTAACACGGATGTGGAAGAGGTTCGGTGTCCTCTGTCGAAGGCTGCCGAGACATCTGTTCGCTGAGACGTGGGTGCGGCGCTGTGCCAACGACGTTGCTGGATTGGCTTTAGTTTGCAGCAGTCTTCCGACGTGATTTGCGGTTCTTGATTTTCCTGTTTGGTTTGGTTCCGTCCTGTGGCTCTGATTCGTTTTGGCTGCGCTGCGGGGAGGCGGCACTCGTGGTTGCTTCGTTTTGGTTGTCGGACACCTGCTTCGGTGGTCGTCTGCGGTTGCGTGGAGCGGAGCTGGCGACCTCCAGTTGGATTCTTTGCGTTTGCGGCGCTCCGGCTTGGTGTCTGTTGCGGTATCTGACCCAGCCCACGGCGCCTCTCGGGTGAAAAAACGGCTGCGGGCTGCGCATGCGCTTGATGTCTGCCATGTGCAGTGCGTGCGTCCGCTGGTATGGCAGCACGTGTGTGCTCAGTCCGTGTTGGTGCTGCATCTGCCGGAAGGTCGTAACGGACAGCTTTTCGGTGTGTGTGATGTAGGCCCTGCCATGGAGCAGTTGATTGTGTCCGAACCAAATGAGGCCTGCCCGTGCAGGTTGGCCTCTGATTTCGATGGTTTTCTGTCCGTTTAGGATCATGGACAGCCACTTGGCTTTGAGGATCATGATTCGGTCCCCGTCTGCTGGTACGGCGTCGTCTTCGAGCTCCGGTACGGGTTTGTCGTGGGGCGCGCTTGCGTTGGTGTCTTGCATGGCTATTCGTTAGGTCGGGTCGCAACAACGTGCGCTTGGAATGGGGTCTGAGACTACCGTGCATATGTCTGTTCACTTGAACCGCTTAGCGGGGGGGGGTGCGGGGGGTCGGAGGCGGGCTCAGCCGCGCTGTTTGTAGCTTTGCTGTGCCATGCTGTCGTGCTGAATTGTTGACCGTGAGGTTGTGAGGGTAGCAGCAGCTACGCATGTGCAGTATGGGTGCAACCGGTGATAACTGTGATACTGCATGTCCGATCTTCTTGCACTGATGCTTCACTTGCAACGCGTTCGTCTAGCTCTGTCCCTTTTCGTCGTGGTTCTTCGTCTCGTCGCGTCCGACTTTTGCGGGCGCAGTGGCTTCTGGGTTGGGTGCGTCTTCGATTGGCAGGGTGGGTTGGTGTTGCTCGTCTTGGACTGGCAGGGCGAGTTGCCGTTGTGCGTATTCTTCAGCTTCCTTGCGTTTGCGATAGCTCCTGCTGATGGGACACAGGTCGTCTGGTCCAGTGCGGTACCGTGTGAACAGGGAGGGGGGCATCAGTTGGTAGTAATTGAAGTTGATATTGGTTCGGCGAACGTTTGTGATCGCGAGCGCGTAGAAGTTTTGGGAATCGGGTGGGTCCAGTTGGAGGTGTTGGTTGTAGAGTTCGTGAAATTCCTGTCCATCAATGCGTCTCACTTGTTCGATGGTAGCTCTTGCTTTGATGCAACCTTCGCTTGCGAGCCAGATGCATTTTGGCCTTGTTTTGGTGCCGACGACGAGTATGTGCTGCTTCTGGGCCAAGATGTTGTTCAGGGTCTGTGAGTATAAAGTAAGGATGCTGTCGCCGATGTCTGGGTGGTCTTTGTTGTCTGGCACAGGTCCGTGCGGTTGCGCGTCGTGGTTGGAAGTGGTCAAGCTGCGGGCGTCGGCTTCGTCTCCTTCTTCGGATTTTTCCTTTCTGCTCAACTGCTGGCTGGAGAAGGTGCCGGACGTGGTTGAGGCGCTTTCTTCCTGGGTGCGAGTGAGGATGTCGGTGGTTGTGGGCTGGGGGGGTGGACAGGGGGTTGGTGCTGCTGATTCTGGGTTGTTGCGAGGGCGCTTCGGCAGCCGGTTCGTGCGTTGTCGTTCTGTCGTCCGTCAATTTCTGTCTGTGGGTCGCACGTTGATGCGCGTATTTTGTACTTTGCTCCGAGTTGCATCCTGGTGCATCGTGGTGCTCGAGTCACGTTGGCTTGGGCGCAGCTGCTTTCGTCACATGTCGTGAGCTGGCACTCGAATGTTGCAGGCTGGCTTGTTGTCCTGCTGGGTCGAGATTCTAGTGGAAGGATGTTCTATGACTTCCTGATGTCTGTCGCGGGCTGTTGTGTGGATGAGCTTCTTGAGCATGTGGTAGCGTCAGAGCTTTGCATGTGTGTGTTGTTTCGTGTCGTTGGAGCTGATCCGGACTTGCTGCGGCAGCTGCTCCA